TTGAAGAAAAGGAGCTTGATAAGAAAAGGCGTAAAAACCTGGATGCAAATCTTGAAATATTGAATGAGGCTATTCTAAAGTCTGTACACGATATTAGACAGCATAGCGTTGAAGAGTATGAATACGATGACGGCTTGCAAAAGCTTCATGATGGGTCAGAAGCAGCTTTTCAGACATACGGTGAGGCTCAGAAACGCTATGAAGAAGCAAAAGAGGCTGGTAGAGGGAATAACTCAAAAGCAGCGAGATCGGTGTTGAAGGCAGCTACATCAGCTATGAAGGCGACAAAATCGATATATCAAACGAAGGCTAAGCGATACGCCGAGGCAAGCGAGTGGCGTTAAACGAAAGCTTCAAGGTCGAGGATTGCGCGGTGCAGGTGTTGCCCCGCTGGAAGGTGTAGTTAGTTCGCCGAGGCCGTACCTACAATCTCAATGAGATCCAAGGATTAGCAACGCCGTCAGCCTACTCATACAAGCAGATCGGAAGCAAGTATATTCGTATCCCCGACCTTGATGCTAAAAAGCTCGTGATCGTTCAGCCGAATCGGCGTAAATGTGGTCCTAAGTGGGAAATCAGTGATAGCCTCCAAGCCATGATCAAGGCACTTGTCTATAAGAACCGTATCGATCAATCCGCTTACGATAAGCTTAGCGTTGAAGATAAGAAACTGTTCAAGGAGGTTCTATTGATTACTCATCTCCAATACAGCTTCCACAATAAGTTAGAGGATCCTCTAGATACGCTTAGGGCTGAATACGATAAGCTAAAAGGAGAGCTACAACTCGGAAATGACAACCCCAGTATCATCAAGCAGCTCAAGTCTCTCACGGTGGATATGTACAGCAATCGACTGATTGATGATAAAGAGTTCAAAGATATTATCACCCGTTTATTATAAAACCATGTTCTTCTTCAACTCGCGCATTATATCCAGTTCCGGAGGCAGCTATGGTGACAATAGTGACCTCAACGTTGCTGAGTTGAAAGCTATCATGAAGAACCTCATCATTCATGATCGTCCCCAGAAGACCCAAGCCGCTGTGTGGGCTACTGACCTCGACAAGTCGACCAAGAAGGTGGAGGCATCTACCCAAACTGAAGGCGGCCGAGTCTGGGCTTACCAGCCAAAAAAAAGTCAAAGTCTGTGAAGACATTTGCTCTATAGAGCAGAGCGGATATACTTAGATGTCTACGTCTGTTTTCTTCTCTCGATAGAGTCTGATTTTTTTTATCTCCGATATCGATAGCCATGACAGCATTTTTGCCACTATGCACGTTGTAGATTGGGATATAAGCATTATTCCCTATCGAAACCACTCCAGCGTGCATCGTTATTGAACCGATGACTTGGCCAGTTTCAGGGTTAGTCAGGTTCTTTTTGATCGTTTTACTTGGTCCGCAGCCCATGATACTCTATTACAACGATTTACTCAAGATCTGCTCTATATTTGTCGGTGCGAAATTATCCCTGAGCCAATACCATATATAACCTCTCGTGGAATTCGACAATTCGATCACATTGTAGTTGATCAGTATCAACGACATTAGCGTTAGTAGTCTGAGGGCAAGCGGTCTTCGCCACGAACTGGGTTTGACAGATACCATTCTATATTTACTCCGACATAATCGCTCTCAACTCATTGAGTTCAGCTTTGAGATTATTGATTTGGCCTTGCTGTTCTTGGATAGATTTACTAATATTTAGAATTTTTAGATATAACAGCTAACGCGTTAAGCACTCCGCCTGAAAAGTATAATCGCAAGATTGAAATTCAAAGGAATTGACGGGAGACCGAGGTTAAACTGGCGAGATCGATTCCCCATGGATTCACTGGAAACCCATCCGGATTAAGCTCATCGTTTGCTCCGATATCTACTGCTTCTGGTATGACCTTATACAGCTCCTGCGCGATATAGCCAACATGGACAGTCTGCTCTTGAACCATTCTGAATTTTCTAGGTCTCATTCTCATAAGGCTTGCCAAACCATAGGGACAGTCTACAATGTCCGCCTTCAACCTCTCATCGCTTGCATTGGTATAGCTTCCTCCACGCACCGGGACATAGGCTGTCCACGCGTAATTAGCATCGCATTTTCCCAACCTGATAGCTCCTACGGTTGAATCAGTACCAATCGCTGGATAGTCAGTCTGAGACCAATTGAATCGATACCTAGCAAATCCATCGCCGCCTCCCTTTACGTGCATGAAATTATTCGCCCATACCTCTCCGCCTGAGTGAATGGTTGCTTCTGGCGACCACGTACTCATACCAACTCCCAGTCTTCCTGAGCTGTTTAGATAAGCTTGAGTTGTGTTTCCAACCATGAACCTTAGCGGGTCGCTCGTAGTGGTGCCTAGAGCTACACCACTACTTTTTCCCGCGACATCGTTGTATACCTGAATTTCAAATTCGATTGGAGTAGTAGCATCCTCGGCTATACGCATTGCGCGTTGCCAAGTAAATTCGTGCTCGAAACTATATCTATTTTTGCAGTACTGGTAGCTGATCCAAAGCGAATGTATCCTGCTTGAGTGATTCTCATACGTTCAGTCATTGGTGATAATGCATTAGCTCCTGACCGTGTACTGATTGCAAAATCAGCCATTGAATATTGAAGACTCGTAGCGGTTCTAGTACAATATAGATTAACGCTAGGGGTGTACGTTGTCATATCACTAGTACCTTCAATCGTGAACGATAATCCGGCCTGAGCGCCAACCGTATTGCTTTGATTACGAATCATGAGATAAAAATCAGAGGCACGCGTTGTTGATGTAAATGATGTCCCGGCCGCAATCTGACATTGGGTAGAAGTAGTGGATATCAGATTGGTTGACGTTAGAGATGAGATACCTGATGAGATGCTACTATTAGAGTCTAGTACAAGAGCCTTTGATGCTTATGCAGATCCTGCTCCGGTGGTAAGATCTAGATAGTTCAGCTCAACGGTAGATGCTGTGCATCCAGCAAGCTTGTTCAGCTCCGCACCTGTAGCATTGAGAGTATCTCCCCTGAGTTGAAGCGTAGTAGGATTGATATTCAAGGTCGTTGCATTCATAGTTTGAGTACCTGACTTACTAATCGTATCACATGTGATCGTAGGCGATGATATTGAAGTCGAAGCTATAAAGTTTCGTGATATGGTTAGATCGCGAATGCCTGAGTAATCTTTCGTACTATTGAGAACCACAACGCTACTGGCTGAAGCGCCCCCTTCGATAACATTGAGAAAGTAAGCATGATTGAAATTTATCCAAGAACTGACTCCATCCCAAAATTTCAGATTTGGAATGAATAAACCGGTTCCACCAGCGCTAAGTGTTAGATTGCTAAGTGTACCTAGACTAGTAATATTAGGCTGAGCAGCGGTTTGTAGCGTTCCTGTTATCGACGTCGCTGTGAGCGAGCTCAGGGTTCCTAGGCTAGTACTGTTGGGCTGAGCAGCTGTTGTTAGCGTACCCGATACATTACCCGAGCAATTTACAGCGGTTAGAGTACCTAACGATGTTATATTAGGCTGAGCAGCAGTCTGTAGCGTACCAGTAATGTTAGTTGCAGTTAGCGAGCTAAGACCTGTAATGGATCGACTTGCACCAGTAAAGGTTAAACTGCCTCCGATAGTCAATCCAGTAAGCGTACCTAAGCTGGTGATATTTGGTTGAGCAGCCGTCGCTAGCGTTCCATTGATGTTTCCACTCACGGTGAGCGACGAGAGTGTCCCTACACTAGTTACGTTGGTCTGAGCAGCAGTTGCCAATGTACCAGATATGTTTCCACTCACGGTGAGGGACGATAGCGTGCCTAAGCTAGTAATATTAGGCTGAGCCGCTGTCTGCAGCGTGCCAGTAATCGACGTTGCCTTCCAACTACTAATAGTAGCAATTTCACCTGATGCACCAAGTACCAGAGCTTTGTTGATAGCGGCAGTACCTGGAGTAATATCAGCTACATACGTTGGTACGCCTGAAACGGAAGCACCATTAACAGTAGGCTACTACAGCGTAGTGCTCCAAGACCGCTGATGTTCCCACCACTTCCAGGGACAAGCGCTACACCAGGTGATGCTACGCCTTGAGAGACACCAGTAATGTACGTCAAGCGATAGTCATACTTATTCAGATAAAGAGTCTGAGCATAGTCATGCGTTAGAAACCCGCTGGCATCCAATTGGAGAAAGTAAATCGGCGATGTGAATATCGGGCTAGGATAAGAAAAACCTGAACTCATCTTTGTTTGATCCTATATAGTTTAGACGATAATCATGAGTGGTATTCCAGATTTCGGAGCTTCAATCCCTAAAAAATTCAAAAGCGCCTCTATGGGTGATATTCCAGCACTTGACATCAAAGCGCTGTTTAGAATGGTGGTTCTGGGGCCATCGTTCTCAGGGAAGAACAAATTATGTATGTTCATCCTCAAGCATTCTCCTCACGTATTTGCTCATCTAACGATCATCGCTCGTAATCCTCACCAGGAGTTACACCAGGAGTTATATTCGTGATAAGCTTGATGGCTTTATCACATTCACCGACCCTGACTCGCCTCCGAGTGTTGAACGGGTACGTCATACACCAATTAATTCCAATAAGCCTGAGCTCGTCATCATCGATGACTACAGCAACGATAAGCTTCTTCAGAAGAATTTGTTCTCACATTACTTCACTAGAGGGCGCCACTTCAAGCTATCAACCATCTTCTTAAGCCACAGCTACTTCGCAACGGACAAGATGATCAGATTGAACTCAGAGTACGTAGCGATCCTGAAAGCTAATTCTAAGCGAGACCTCCAGATGGTTGTGAAAGATTTTAATATCAAGGGAGTAGATGAGCGTTCAATCGTCTATTATCACAACAAATCCACGGAGCGAAAGGGCCAAATGCTCTTCATTGATTCGGTCAAGGGTCAGATCAGGTATAACTTCGATAGACCGATTCGTATCGAGGACTAATTCCAATTTATCAAACAAAAATATGCCTACAAACATATAATCAATATGTCCAGCTTTATCAAACTCGACAGCACCAATCTGGTACAAGATGGAACCAATTCAACCTGGAAATACTCCTTTCCCGGATCGGCGGCTGACTTCCGCGATGTAGTATGTGCCATTCAATCGATTTCGATTTGCATTGAATCAATGTTATACTCGATGTATGACAGCGAGTATAACATTGATTCAATGCAATTTCAGAACACAACGTTCAAAATTGAAGTACCTACCGCTGCAACTACATCCACAATCAGTGTATCCCTCCCTGATAGTATTTATTCGTATGACGATATCAACCGAAGCATTCAGACTGCTCTTGTCAATGCTGGGGCGTATCTAATCGATCCGTCGGGGGATAACGTATTCTATATCAAAATGAGTGCTAACAGTGTCTATTACGCTTGTCAGCTTGATTTCTCGCCTACGCCTACAACTCTACCAACTACCGGTGGAACATGGACCAGACCTACCTCCGGTTTATACTCCTCTGGTGGTACTGGATTGCCGACTACTACCCGCGTTCCTCGACTGATCATCGATAATGCTGAATTCGGTAAAGTTGTTGGTCTCACAGCGGGTACATACCCCTCCACATCAGCTACTGTTGCAAGTGCTCAGCTATCGAACATCATTCCTCAGATTCACCCGACTAGTTCCTACATCGTTCGTTGCGATCTGATCAAAAACGAATACGTGGCTTCTGGTGATATTGTCAGTGCTTTTGATAGAGGTGATGCCGCTATTGGAAAGGTCATTTCATACAAACCGAGCCAGTATGCGTGGATGAACTGTCATAATGGCGCTCGAGCTAGTATTACACTCAGTATCTATAAACAAAATGATAAAAAAGTGATTTTCAGAGATACGTCGGTATCCATCATGCTTCTGATTCGTCCAAAAAAAGACATCCAGAGTATTTTTTTTAGGGCGGCTACAACGTAAACGAACCACCAGTCTTACGACGTGCCCTGAGCGCAGCCATCTTAGCCTTCATCTCTGGCGAACCCTTCGCTGGACGTTTCTTTGCTACGCCTACACCATAGCGGCGACGAACCTCCTTTCGCACAGATCTGATTAGATCCTCATGTTCCGGCTTGGTAGCTTTTGATAGTACGAACTTCTCACCAGCATCGATCGCGTCGGTGATGACCCCCTTGCGCTTCGTGTATGCAAGAGCATTCTTTGCAGCCTTCTTTACGTCAGCCATTGATACGCGACCTCCTTCCTTGTCGCTATCGGAATCATAAATACCAATGCCGGTTAGGGACTTGATTGCAGCTCTGGCTGGAACAGCAGCCGTTGGCTGACCAGCATAAGTAGCTAAAGCAGGAACCGCCGCATCAACGGCTCTGGATAGTAGACCTGAATCCTTAGCAAATTTGTATGCAGACTTGATCCCTCCCCATACTTTGGACCAGATAGAGCCTCCTTGAGCCTTTTGGTAGCCCTTCTTCACTTCGTGCTTGGTAATGTCGAGTCTGACACCGCGTCCAGCTTTACGAGCCTTGAGCGCCTTTTCAAACGAAGCAGGGTGGAGATGGATGACTGAACCACTACCCTTTAGTTCGCTTGAGGTGAGGCTGAGCTTACCTGTCTTGAAAGCTTTGGTAAGCTTCCGCGCAGGAATATCACTAGAGATTGTTAATTCTCGATACATGATTACTATATACGTTGAATTAAATTTATTCCAGAATTGTCAAATTTAGATCTTTCATTGTTTTGAATACATCTGGCTTACGGTATTGCTTCGAATATAGCCATAGGACACAGAATGGTCCACAGTAGTCTCCATAGGTTCCTTGGTATTGCTTGGTGTTGTATCGATCGATACCATACTTCTTTGGTGGTCCTTCCCCCATACTATCGAAGAATTCACCATTATGAACCGCCGTCCAGTGTCCTACCTCAAGATTAGGAGGGCGAAGTAGAATCCGAAATGACCCTTTCTTGGGGAGATGGGACTTTATCTCATTTGATTCGAATATATTATCGAGTTGAACGTTCATTTTCTCAGCGAGTTCGATGAGATCATGATCTGAGGTGATTGGCTTGATGAGGTGCGACATAATATTTAATTTTATCAAACTATATTAGGATCCATATAGATTCAACGATGAGCGAAACTCAACTATCCGATCAGTACTCTTACCATAGCTCGCTTAAGAGCTACCCGGAGATCGAGGTATCTTCGAGCAAGCGTGTACCGCACGTCATTGACCTAAATCAGGGTTCGTACCAGAATGGTGTCATCACTATCGATGCTACGGCTCAGCTTAACGGTTCCGAGGGCTTCGCAAGCCTTCGTGATGCCTACATTACGCTTCCCTACAAGGTCTCAATGAAGAATGGTGGCACTGCTCAAACTGTCGCTGCCAATCGTCTATGTGCTACTCTAAAATGCCGAAAATTGGAACGTTATTGATAGTCTGAGTCTGGAACTCAACGGAAAGACTATCGTCTCTATGGCTGACTACAAGCTCTTTTGGAACAACGTTCGTGCTCAGACTGGCTACAGCCCTCAGTACATTGAAAAGCACGGAGCTGAATCGTTCTTGTACCCTGACGCTGCTCAGTCGGTATCATACAGTTCTGGATCCGCATCTACCAGTGGTGATGGATATTCAAACACCATGGCATTCTCGTCTTCCTTTGCTGTCTCGGCTCCTCCTGGTGGTGCAACTATTCCTAATGATGGTTTTGTTAAGCGCCTTCTATCGAATCCTCCTACGGCTGGCGCTGACTTCTCCAGCTCGTGGCCGTCGGTAGGTGGTGCTGCTGCATCGACTACCATTTCTAACCAGACCTCGCGTGGAGCTTTCGTACCTGGTGGTACTGCTGCTAACGCAATCATGGGAACGTGGAACTACATGCTTAAGATTAAGCTCACCGATCTGCATCCTATCTTCCGTGAGCTTGACTTGATGGCTAACCCTCAAATTCGCCTGCGTTTCCGTGTGAATCAGGGAACGTCTGTAGTCGCGGTAGATGCTTCAAAGGGTATGTCGCTAACCTCTACTACTCTATCGTCTGGTAATAGTTGTCCAGTCATGATTGCCGCTTCTGCTACCGGTAATCCGATGAATGGTGTGCTTGCCGCATCTGCTGGCTTTAGTGTTGCTTGGGGAGCGGTTGTAAATGCTCTTGAACCTACCATCGATGGTACATACATGCCTTTTACTACTGCTCGTTTGTATGTCCCTTTCGTTCATCTTGAGAACCCTCAAGCTATTATCTCTAAGCCGGTTAAGAAGGTTCGCTACAATGATTGCAACGCACAGTGGTTTTACCAGCGTGCTGGTATTGGTAAGTCCTCGACTCAACTAAATGCTTCTTTCGATTTACAGCTGTCGGCAAGTGTTAAAAACGCGAAATATGTTGTGCTTTTACCATTCGCGGAACAGACAAACAATTTTGCTTCTGCTACTGTTCAGCAGTTCCAGAGCCCCTTCGATAGCTCTCCATACACGCTTCAGCCCGGGTCGTCGATTCGCAACTTTAACGTTCGTATGGCTCGACTCAGGTGTTCGATATCAGTCATGACTATGATTTCCACCACTTTACCAACGAAATTGCTAAGATTTCAGCGATTAACGGAGATCTAACCCCTGAGCTCGTAAATGGTCTACTTGACTATCAGACGTGGTCGCTCACAAACCGCATGCTTATTGCCGATGTCAGTCGCCTGACTGAGCGCGATGTACCTCAGGCTATTCAGATCCAGGGTACGAACGCCGGATGCCAAGGTGTGAATATGCTGATCCTCGTAATTAGCGAACAGGAACTAACGTTCGATAGACTAACCGGAGAGGTTCTAGACTTCACTACAGCGTAAGTAAAAAAAGAGATATTTTTAGTTCAGTTCCTTGAGTAGCTTTGGACACTTGTCAATCCCGAATTGACTTTTTCTTAGCCAATCGAGATAGCCTGGATCCAATTTACTGATCTGCTGTAAAGATTTGCCTCGATACTTACCCCACGTCATCATATAGGAGTTATCGTTATTTAGGAATCTTGAGTGAAGAAAGATTTTCATTTCCTCGCTAATGTTGAGACTAGGTTGGTTGTGAATCCAACGACAGTATCCAGGATCATTCTTGAATACATCCTCAATGGATTGACCTTTGTATTTTCCGAAAGATAGTTCGATCGTCATGTTCTATGTGTGGGTATCTATATACATAGCCTCTTAATTTTTTTGAAAAAAATTTAATTCTGAAAATGACGTCGTAATGTGCCAGTAATTATTGGGAGTTTCATCTTACCCTCGCATGTGCGACTACAGGGTCGCGGGTCTGGTCGCTGGCTAACGGACGCCTCTTCGAGCTCTGAGGTGGTTGAGAGGTCGTGTAGGTAAAACGGACGACTATCCACAAAGATCGTTCTACCACCGTTCTCGGAGGTAAATTACGGTAAGAAATTATGAAAATAAAAAACTGCCGGCGTAATGTGCCGCGACCCACAACTCGGAGTGTAGCTCCGGCGGGAAGGATAAAAGGAGTGCGCTCTCGCTCCTCCACTACTCGGTGATGACTCGCCCTTCGTATACACGGCCACTTCTTCACTACTCTTGGCCTGACCACGGGTAAACGCACGCTACGATACTAGCAGGCGCGTCCACCGACAGTCATAATCCTACCAACAGGTTTATCCAATTGCTACGGGAACAGCTTTTCCTCTTAACCACTCAAGGAAGACGTCCGGGCTATCGGTGAGGCAGCTGTGGTGTAGTGATTTGGCGGTAAACGAGAATCGAGCTGACGACCAAGCTTCAGTGGTGACCCGAGTCGTCGGGACATGTTCAGCAATGTTCGGCGGATGCTGATTGGCCATTCTGGACCGGTGCCGAAGACTCGTCGACACCCAAGTTCGACACCCAGGACTTCAAGTACGATCCGAACTTACAGGAACTTTGACCCGAGATCCGCACTTAAGACGACCGTTCGATCCCCGGCGACTGCTCCAAGTCTTCATCGTCCAATAGAGTCATCGAGAGGCCTCTTGGGGCGTCGAGGAGGCTCTGAAGGGTCGGTAGTTACTTGGGAAGATCCAAAACGGACGCGTTTTCACGGACCACCCTCGTGTGGCCATTCCGTGATGCGATCGTCGTTGTGTGTCCTCTCGGCGGCAGAGTTTGAGACAAAGGTGAAGGCCGACGAGTACGCCGAACTGTATAATGTCACAGTGAAGACGTCGCCCATGGTGAAGTCCGTGCCGTCGCAGCTTCAAGCAGTACTTGACGGGTTCGCAGATGTCTTTCCGTCAGAGTTGCCGCCTGGATTGCAACAAGTTGCCGTTGCAGCAGAGACTTGCGGCACGCTCTCACACGCAATATAAACCTCGCAGGCCCTCAGGAACCGCTCAATCGAGCACGAAGTTGTCTTGAAACCAGGTGCGACGCCCAGCAACCGCGCCCCCTTCCGTCTCTCGAAGGTTGAGCAGGAGGCATTGGACATCTTTGTGGCAGAGCTGCTGAAGAAGAACTGGATCAAAGTGTCGGACTCTCCATGGGTATCAAACATCTTTGGCGTGCCCAAAAAGGATCCCGCGACTGGCAAATTACCATCACGCTTGCAGTGGCGTTCTCTTCGCCACTGTTCTAGTGGTTCTTGTCGCCAGCCTTCTCGTCACCAACGCATTCCTGGCCGCACTTCTTTCGGTTCCTCTACTCGCCTGAGCTCGAAGCAGCTCGGAATTGAATGTACTAGAAAATCTCACCTCCAACTCCGTGTCCAGGTCAGCGCAATGCAGAACGTGGTGGGTGGTAGGAAATGAGCAATGCACACACTCTCCCGCTGGCAAGAAGTGCAGCGTGCGCTCCCACCCGTCGACGAAAACGACCTCAATCTTGACCAGTGTCGCGTTCAGCTTGGTGCGCTGTAAGACGCACCCGTACTCGGGCAGCCACGGATCGTACCAGACGTCGCCCCGTGCGTGTCTCCCTC